TCCTTCTCCAGTGGACCACATTTTGTCAGAACTCTCTGTCATGACCTGTCCGTCTTGGGTGGCCCTGCACAGCATAGCTCGTGGCTTCACTGAGTTATGCAAGCCCCTTCGCCACAACAAGGCAGTGATCCATGAAGGGGGAAAGCTGTGGAGTCCTAATCAAATTATTGGACTGGGATGAAGAAGATATGGAAGCAGAGTTGGACAAAGTGTACAGAACTAATATATTCACATTCACATTAATATGAGAAAAGTCCCAAGGGACTTTTTCATTATTGGTCCACTTTGTACAAAAGAAGACATGGGACCTTCGATGACATTGCGATAACAAATTACAGGTTAACAACACAGATGTAATATTGTTGAAAGAGAAGCCAATCAGAATATTATAAAAAAGAAAAAAATATAACTTTTTGACAGACTAACATAAGCAAAACAGAATACCATTTCATTGGGACAAATTGGAAGGAGTAATCCTGACATTCAGCCAACAGAGGTACAGGCTGAACTCCGTCCAAAGGGGAAGAGATTTTAATGAAAAGTTTAAAGAGGATCTGGAAAAACTACAAATATAACAAGGACAAGAGATGCAACACAGAAAAATCAAGAGGGATAAGCACAATAGGAAGATGACTGAGACTACATTATTATGTGCCACAGGACTCATTTTTTGCAAATTTGGAATATAGACATGGATCTACTATGGCTAACATGGAATATAAATGGAGCTATTGCTCCTCAAGAATAAAAAAGGTCTTTCATTATTTGAAAAAATTACAAGAAGATGTGATTTGCCTATAAGAAATGCAGTAAGAAAGAAGGACAAAAAGTATTTGATCCATAAAAGTTTGGGACAAGAATCTGTATACACAGGGACAACTAAGAAAAATACAGGTGTTCTGTATCTAAATCTGTAGTTACAACCAAAGTTGATATTAAATTATGAACAAGGCAGATATATAGCTGTAGAAATGAAATGGGATGAAATGAAAAAATTGCTAGTAGAATTATATGCACCAAATGACAAAAAAGCTGTTTTATAATGGACATGTAAAGATTAATTGTCTTGACATCTGAAAGTTGGAGTGTCTTAGGTGACTGGGATGG